GCTCGCGAGAGCTGCCCATTCTACGATTATGGAGCAGGAAAACGTCTCATAAATTAATTAGTCATAATATACTATAAAAATAACATAGTAATACAATTATAGACTAATTATTCGACCATAGCCAGCGATTCGGTGCTTAAGAACCCAGCACCCTGCCCTGTGTCGACATGGATCGTGCACCACCACGATCGCTCAGCGCGCATGCCTCTAGATGTCTTTGTATGCCCGCTCAGCACCATTACGGCGCCGCCACTGCGCGGCGCACCACTTTGCGCAGCTGCACGCTCCTTTGGTGCGTTCCAGCGTGTCATGCGGCCGTGATGCACGGCACCATGCGCCTCTACGGCACAGAATCGTATGTGGCTGTGCGTCGACCTTATCAGGCCTTATCGACCTTGCAGCGCTTTTTCAACGCGTTTTGGCGAGGGTGCGATTTTCAGCGAGCCGTGCGGCCTGTTCGGCCAGCTGCACAGCCGTCGCTTCGGCTTCCGCCGAGTCGAGCGGCAAGAATGCCCTTAGACGCAGGGGGATGTGTGCAGCATGACGCGAGGTGCCATGCCAGGGTCGGGAGACACGATTCAGACCGGAAAGTTGGGCTCTGAGGCCCTCACAAGGTAGTGATACAACCGCAACTGATGGCGTCCACACAGAACGTCTGCCGTCCAACAATTTCCTCACGACTAGGCCTGTCACATCACACGGCACCCAGCGCCAACCAGCACTGCACCGCCAAACTCCAAACACAAACGAATGGTAGAATGGCGACCCCACAACCGCGCACGGCTCTTTTATAGAACGGAAAGGTCCCTTGGACCCCCGAAATGTCGCATATGGCCCCTCCAAAAGCGATAGCACACTTCCGATCCAACATACGGCGCAGCCACACATTGATGACTCAATGCATACCCTGATTGCACGCACTGAACATGGCGCTAGTGTACAAGACTCCCGTCAGCACAATCGCTGAATCCTCCCCATACTCTACTGCACTTCAGTACATCGTCAGCAGGACTAAAACCAAAGAAATGTATATCATTTTTTCAGCGTATCAATGGTCTCCAAATGACGCCTTGGCTCCCTGATTTCTACTTGTTTTCTGAACGTACAACCCAGCCCATTATAGGAAAAGGGCCGAGTTTTCAATGCTTTCCAATCATGTTCACACAAATTCCCACACAATCCCACAGCTCCTGGCATAATATACAACCATTTTCAGTGCAAACCAGGACAAAACGAATGGTAGAATGGCGACCCCACAACCGCGCACGGCTCTTTTATAGAACGGAAAGGTCCCTTGGACCCCCGAAATGTCGCATATGGCCCCTCCAGGCTGATGTTTTTTTTCCCAAAGGACTAGTTACAGGAAGACATGTCCGTGAGCATCACGTTTGATGGAGATGGTTTTTGCTGGCCTACCATCCAATCACCATTATATACCATCACAGAATTCCTCCAAACTTGTCCATTTGCAGTCACCATAATGCCCATGCACATCAAATTCATTGGTCATGTGACGGTCGAAAAGCATTTCATGTGCTGACACCATGCTTTACGAGACTTCACAGTCCATTTGCAGTCACCATAATGCCCATGCACATCAAATTCATTGGTCATGTGACGGTCGAAAAGCATTTCATGTGCTGACACCATGCTTTACGAGACTTCACAGCACCCTCGCTCAGCACCTGCCTGCATTCTATTCTTTCTCCTGCCCATACAAAAGACATAGAGTACTATATAGAAGTGGATGACGTGGGGACCTACGGTGCACTACTGCAGCTGTGCAAAGTGTATAAAAAAGAATGAGACTAATAGCTTCAATACATGCCCGTTCTTCTCAGGGCACGGCGGCCTGTTTGACGAAGCCAGGTGACATTGCTGCTTCACTTTGCCACTTATTTTAAAACAACCTTTTTGTTGTTTTGCGATTTAGCGCTTCAGTGCATACAGGTCCCAAGACACCTCTGTCTGACAGGTTTCCAGGGGTTTTCTGTTTGCATACACTCCCAGCATGCTGCCCTGTGCATTACAATCTAACACTCCCAGCTCATGTCCTATCCACCAGGGCCATCATTTTTTACCTCTTCCCTTTCAATCCTGCGCTTTTCTGTTCCAATACAGGCACGCATGTCCGGCATGCATGTGAAACCACATCAAGCCAACTATATACCCTTCTGGTGGTGTCCTGAGGTCATGATCCATATAGGGCTTCATGGCAGTGATGGGAAAAAATTCTCCACATGCTGTACAGGTCGATTAGGTGCCAGCTCCCCCTAGACCGCTGATATGACTCCCTCACCCATGAGAAAATGCAACATGTGTGTCAGGGTATCTTACAGCCCTCTAGCGCTCATGCATGCATGCCCATTCCTGTGGGAGTATCAGGATGTAACCATGCGTGCCATGAGGATACACTGGATGTGCATACCCATTGCCGAGTGCACCAGCCAATGGTTACTGGTTCATTCGCATGTACCCTATGCTGATAGTGCGATTCAGGTCGCGTTTTGCTTAAATTGTAAGCTTTCAGTCACAAGGAACCCCAATTTTCATGCAAACCAACAGGCCTCGTGTCCTCCCTCGTCAGGTGGGACGGCCTCAATGATCCTGGCGGATCAGGGCATCACCGGGCAGCCCAGTGAGTCCGATTCGCCCCCAAGCCTACCCCCTTACGGTGCAGGACGTCCCAGAGTAGCCTTTGACCTGACCAGTCTAGGGAGCTGATCAGTGACATCATTCTCTTGAGTGCACAGAGCGGCTTCCTCCTGTCAGCTCCTGCCTCCCTCACCTTTCCCGGTGAAACTTGCTCCCGGGGCATTGCAGCCCTGATGTTTTCAGGAGTGTTCTCGAGTAAGCCACCATTGCTGATGACAAAAGAAAAGAAACAAAGAGTGGGCCATCCCATGCAGTGTGTATCGCGCATACGGTCGACACCCGCCGTATCACATGAGTCACCCAGTGAAACGGTGCTCATAATGTGGCTTCATCGAACAGTTCCTTTTTTCTGCGGTGGTACGTGTCTCGCCACAATAGTGCCCGTTGCAATGCAGGGCCCTCCACTCCGGAAACAGCTCCCCAGCGCGCCATGTTGGAGCTGCGGAGCACCGACGCCACGCAGGCCCTCCTGGCCACCGCAGCCGCGGCGGAGGCGCTGCCGCAGGGCCTCCGATCCGAGGCCTCCTCCCTCCTCGCCCGGCAGACCGTCCCCTGGGCCGCCCTCAGGCGCATCGCGGACGCCCTGCGCAGCGCGGCCCCCCAGGGCCAGGGTCCCTGGCTGCACGAGGCCTGCGCGGGATCGCGGATCGTCCTGACCGCGCCCAAGCCCAAGGAAAAGAGCCCGGAGCTGCTGGCCCGGCTGGCGGGGATAACGACGCAGGCCGCGACATAAATTGTGAAGAACGTCACGCGTCGCCAGCGAGCCAGGGGACCTGCTGCCCACCACCCGTCTGCAGATGGCGTTCGGGACGCACGTCGTGGCCGCCATGGTAGTGTGCTTCCTGCTGGGGCACTTCGCCAGCAGGGCGATGACGGACCGGCCGGTCCTGCAGGCGCTGGCGGGCGCGCTCGGCCTGACGATGGGCATGGTGGTGGAGACGGTGCTGTTCATGGTCAGGAGCGCCCCCCTGAAGCCCCTGCCCGGCCTTGGCCCTGTCGGTGTGAAGAAGAAGCGCGAGTAGGGGTTGGCTGTGGGCGACGCGGGGATTGCCCTGTGCTTGATTCCCGGTTTGCAGATACCCTGCATAGCAACGTTTCTTGAGGATTGTGTGCCATGCTTTCGCTGAGCGGAGGCAGGCTGCGCGGGGAAACCTGTCATGGGAAAGGGCACATCACGGCCAGTCCAAGGGGGCACTCAACACCGCAAGATCGCAATTGGCAATCATTGCATCCATTGTTCCTGGTGTGCACCTGAAGTGTCCTAGCTGCAGCGAGAGTGGGTTCCCAAGGTGACAGACGTGGAGGTTGTTGTGCAAGGGACAATCTCCAGGGGTGTGGGAAGGTAGAGAGTGCATGCGGAATTGTAGTCATAGAAATTGTATACTGGCACAAAAAAGAGCTAGAGACTGCCTGGCCAACATGGTGCTACATTGACAGGCGCTGGAGAGACAGCGCGGAGCCCAGTATTTGCATCAATGAATCCCCGGCAGAACGTGGAAATACGTGTGGTATGCACTTCCAAGAAAAAGCATAAGGCACAGGAAGGGAGCCTGGGAATCGATGAAATCAGTTGCCGAATAGATATACCCCTACAACAGCTGTGTTCATGCTCTTCATGGTAACCCAAACGGATCCGCCCTATCTCCCACAGGGAACATCGAGACCCCCAGCCATTCACACTTTTTCAGCTGTTGTATTATTCATTTCTGAACCTGCGATACTACAGAATTAGTGCGGCGTTTGCCTAAACCCTTTCCGAGCTCCCACCACTGAGGATGCCTAAATGAAATCTCTACCCAATAAATTTCTACACCACTGTCGCCCACCTCTAGAACCCTTTCTTGCCCAGCAAAGTGCTTTCCACAAGGGCGGAGACTTCGCATTCATAACCATCCCTTCACAACCACTGCACATTGCCAAAACTGGCACAACTCCACTTCCTGATATTCCATCAGTTGGACTGGCTGCTCGACGACCATGCCTCAGCATGTCATGCCGCATGCAATGCAAGGATCAGGTGAACAAAGCACGTCCTTACAGCAGTTGCCTGTGAGGGGGCACCTCGGCTCTCCGCGAAATGTATTGCAGAAGAATCGGCACTGCTGCATTGCATCCAGTCGCCACTTGGGCACGCTCCCTGCTGTTGTCTTATGGCTGGTGCCCCTGCACCATATGGAGGCTTGCAAGGTACCACACGCCAATGTACTCACAGAAATGGGAGGGCGAATGCACCAGCAGTGCAGATGCCACAAATCAGATCTGCATTGCTTGCGGAACGCCGCTGAACAGCATATTCAGCTCTGCGTTGGTCCCTGTTCAGGAGGTATGCAACACTATATTCCCCATCAAGCCTCCATCGGGGCTTCACCGACACCACCTTGCCCAGCCTGTGGTTCGTCGTCCCAGTCCCCATCCCATTGCCAGATCTTCACGCCGCGGCCAACTTTGTCCCCAGTGAACATCAAGCCAGTTGGGCCCGTTCCCAATGCTCGTGGCTGTTGCACCTGTGCAACAACACCAGAAACCTCAGCCTGGGATATGTTAGGCTCAACAAAACGACAAACAAGACACGGGCTGGCATGCATCAGCTCATAATTAGCGCAACCATACACATCAATGCAACGATTTACAGTCCCTTGTCCATCCCAAAGGGGATAATTTAGGTACTCTTTCGACATGCTGATAACCACCCAATATTGACAGCATTACTCCTTCAAGTCTATGGACATACAGTCAGCCTCTCACACAGTCATCATTCTAGTCCGTTCTTATTCCAGAAACCATGAGTACACATAAGACCTGTGCAGCCCATTTCCTAACAATGAGTATAATCCCTGAAAGGTTCCCTAACCTGTGGTGGGGTGCACCTTTCCAGCAAGATTGTCTTTAACACACCAGCCATTGGATATTGCAACATCTCCTGGTGGTGCTTGTTTGCCACAGTTGCCAATGCAACCAACTCCAATTCAACGGCAGTCAAGGGTTCCAAATGAACTAGCTGCAGACTCAGGGTCCCTACAATCATCACATACTTCTTGGCAATCAACGACTGTCTATAAATAAAAAGAGTATATCTGCTTCATGCCATGCACACAGCCATATACTATCACAAGATATCAAAGCCAAATGTAGTTATGAAAGCCATGTGTGGGTATATGAGCCACACATCTGTGTCACACACCTCTGGCAGAACCCCTCGCTCTCGGAACTCTGGCAGGTCGTACAAAACGACAATGCCGCTCGTCAAACCAACCATCAGCACTGGCTTATTCTGTCCATCAGGTGTGCCGCACATGGACAGTACCCCTGGCGCAGGTCCACCTCCAGTGCCCTTCAGTTCAGAACAAATAGGCAAATCAGTGAACATAGAGCGCTTGGCCATATTCAGCGAGAGCACTGGCCATGCGCCTAAAGAGCCATTATGGCCAACAACATAATGACTCATGGTTTTTGCTTGAAGCTTGTTCTGTTATTTGCTGAAGTGAACCATACTTGGGGGAATCCACTGACAAGTGTAATTCATTTGCTGCTGTTGCCCTTTGAATTCTCTACTGGTATGTTGCATTGGTTTAACCCTGCAGAATGGAGCTCGTTTGCACTACAATGCCCAAGGTTATCACTTATCGTGACAATTGAAACAATCTTTCCACTTCAAGAGTGCACATGCCTGGTTGACTATCTGCACCACCACGAAAACCAGAACAGAGGCAGTACGCATCGAGCACATACTTGGTTAAAACAAGACAACTGGAAATAGTATTGTCCCGCAGGATGCACCAGGGGAGCACAACGAAACACACTTGCAGAGAGGGTCTGCACAAAAACCTGCACTCTTTGTGCTTCTTCTCTCGTGTTCTCGCCTGTTCATCGTTCTGACAAAGGGACTACTATCCCCTATTCAACAGCCTTGATAGGCAGGTTTCTATGCACAAAGACTGCTGCAGGTTGCCAATTAACAGTTGTGCAACTCTCTTCAATCTTTTTTCATTCTGGTGGGAACACAATTATCAGTTCGACTGGGGATTTTCGGTTTCCATTGCATGGCCCTGAGCTTGTTAGGCTATCAACAAATACAGTTGGAGCTGCTGACATGCTTAACAAGGATAACAGTAACAGCAGGTGCTAACATAGAACAAGGGGAATATACCGAAACAACCCAACAACGGCAATTTGTGCAGGAAGCGTCTGCTGTTCTGCACTGGCCTCGCTGTGGGTCACTTTTTGTAAAATTGCTGCACTCCAGGTGGATGCCAAGCGCGTATTCTTTATCTCAACCAGCAGCCAGCTGCTCAACAGAAATCGACTGGAGAACAGGGCATGCGCACAGCACAACATGGAAATAGAACCGTGGTACAGGCACATAACATGCTGCATCTTTGCACAACTCTGTGTTTCTCTTCCCAGAATGAGCACAAACTCACAGCCCTGCTTCGACTCAGTAAACAAACGCAGGCAAGTCGCAACACACTGAACCTACCGGTCTCTGGTGCTCATAATTGGGCACAGAGTCCAGCACAAATCCGGCACCACTGTTGCTCTGCGTCCAGACCTTGATTGTCCCATCCAAAGCACCACTGATCAGCACACCCTGCCACACGATCATGCTCATGATGCTCCTATCATGCGCTTTTTCCAAGGTTTGTGTGCACCCCCCAGCTCCCAAATTCCACACCTGCATAAGAACAACGCCTTAGTCCCCAGTAAGGCAAGGGAGCAATGAGAACCTTAGCGCCTAGCCTTCGCTTTCACTGGTGAGGCTGTCCTGCTAACCAATTCTGGTGGCAGCTTTTTCGCCTGCATTCTTGGCATCAACACACCAGAGGAGCACTGTCTCTGCAGTCCAGTCACTCCAAAACTGAAGCAATAAGATGCAGGGTCACCATGGTCAATACACAGGCAAATGCTGTTGTACTCTCGCCATTGTTGCTGCTATACTTACAGTAGCCCCCCCACACACACACCAAGGGTGCTAACTTCTACCAATGGTCTGGAAGAGAGCCACATACAAGATTGGAATTGTTCATGGACCTTCCCACACAGTTTGTTCCAAAAATCTGGACAGCTGCTCTTGGATAATGGCACAAACCCGCAATACGACATTCAAACACTGGCAACTTTGCAGTTGAGGCGTCCACAGCACACTCCCCTCATACATCTGAGAGCTGGCACATCACGACAACAGGACTCGATCACTTGATTCACTCGGGCAAACACAACAACACACTAGAGCGTTGAACAACATGATGGCCTGCCTTTCAGTGTTGACTAAATGCCTCAATTTCGTGCTGCTAAAGATCAACTAGTTACTTGCCCAACCAAGATTCTCTTGGTAACATTCTGTGCACAGCTTCCCCCTACCTTGATGTTTCCATGCCTATCCCCAGAGAACAGATAGGTTGGTGCAATTGAAGCCATTGCTGTGACAGGATGAGTATGTCCATTCTGCTCCTTTGTCAGGGCACCCTGCAGATAGAAAATGGAACACAAGTCAAAGCAGGGGTCAGCAACAGTGCCAAGCATGCCAGTTGGCCCAAGCAACACCTTCCACAGGCTTAGGAAGAACAACACACAATTCACCGATGCACCATAACATTAGGGCAGGACATCACTAAGAACTCAAATGGCACTGCTCTGCCCTCTGCCAAAGGCGCATGCCATACGTAGTTTTCCATGGGGACCAGCACGCATCAGCACAGTACAGCACAAATCGACTCTTTCAAGCCTTGGTTGTGATAGGGGTAACTGCAAAGATGTGGCAATATCAATTTGAAAATGATGACACAGGTTTGTGAACGATTCAGCTCTTGCATTGTTGCTCTGAACTGCAATTTGGTACTGCTATCCATTCTCAGATCCACATTGGGCCCACAGCAGGACTGCAGATCTCTGGCGATGAACACTGGCTGTTGGCAGCAAACATCTTTGACTTATGTTCGCAACTCATCCGTACCACAGGGTCAAATAGTTGGCTGTCAGCGTTGAACTTAAAGGCATTGATATTACAGTCCTGGCCACCGCTGAACAAGAACTCGTTCACACCATGTAGACACAGTACTGGGCCCTGCAAGCACACACGAGGAAATTCGCCCTTGGTCATATGTTTGCCTCACATTGGGCTTGTGGCTACAGAGTGATAGTAGCCAGGCACACAGAACCACTAATCAAGTGTTTCAACCTTTGTGTCCCACCGATGACCATCTCATAATGACATGAACAGGTGCCTAGTCACAAAACCTGCAGAAGCCCAACCTTGAAACTGAGCTGTGCTGGAAGTCTGCAGTTACCAGAGCAAACTGCATGTTACTGATACACTCAAATTCCAATACAAGCAACATAAAGTCAAGTCAGGCCATGCATTGCATCTTTGACATATCTACACATCAAACAACACATGTGTAGCCACTTCTGGCGCCACAACAGTTGTCAACCCGAAAGGCCCCATGGTACAAGAAACTAACATTGTCAAAATGTTGCCCATGCACATGCTGGCCATCCCTGGTCCCTCCAGAGACAGCCATGCCTTCTGGAACAGCGACTGTGCACTGAAACTTGGCACGTACCTCATGGGCTGGGAGAGCCTGGTCGTGGTTGGACGACAAGTTAAACACACGTACAGAGCCCACATCACCTCCTCTTGAGCTGTCTGGCGCATGCATCCCAATGAACAGGAATCCACTTGCAAGCAATAATAAGTCCACCTCTCCGCCAATTTTCACAGTACTTTGACACTGCAAGCACAGCATCACCAATAAGAACTGCCAATTTGCAGTTTACTGACCTTTTTATGTCCATGTACGTCAAACAAAACAGGCACACGCAAGCCAACAAGGGAGTTCTCACGATGTGTATAGTTAGGGCCACTGTTATGGGCACTCCAGTAACAGGAACATTATGCAACATTTGGACCCAAGCTCCTCTGCCACAAAAAAGTCACTGCCAATACCTATCAGCCAAATTCAGATAGTAACTAACAACAAAGAAACAACAAGTGAGGGTCAACAGAGTGTCCCTTTGCATGTCCTGTGGCTGGCATGTCGTACCAACTAACACCTTCAAGTAAGTGCGCATACTATGACCCAAGTTGCTACGCAATTGAAATGTTTATTGACTATGCTGTCATGTCCACACGCCCAGAATGCAGTACTGGCCACAATTATTGGCACAGAAATCTGAAATTGAAATCCTGCATTAGTCCACAGAGCTGCTACACTTCTGCCAATGCAAATGCCAATTGCACAGCCTCACACCGCGCAAGGTGGTCGAATCAATGCACCCACCTCTCCACTGTCAGCACTCCATAGCCTCACTGTTCCATCTTTGGATGCAGTAAACAGCTGGTCAACCAAAGCGAAGAGATTCAGGATAGCGCCAACAAGGGACACATCTGGAAGTCGATGGGGACAGCCAACGAGTTTCCACATCCTTGCATTACCTTTGGCCCAGGGGCTGGGCAAATACTTGTCTGAATATTGAGGATTGAATACAGGCCTTCATTCCAATCGGCTCTGCTGATCATGTCCAGAAATACTTGTATGATGGTGTGTAACAGGTTCTTGCCTGCCAGCCACTGGATTCAATGTGCACTTTCCGTCCCGCAATCCGATTCCCATCACAGCAATAGGTATCCACCCACTTTCCAAGGTTGGCACCGCTGGGCAGCTGGTTTACATTCAGCATCACAAAACACAATGCCACATGCTCTGAGGCTAAGTTGCCCAATGCAACATGCACATAGACAATGTGCTATCAAGGTGCAGCCAAGTCAAGATGCACAACAAACCCTCCCATCTTCCAGTCGATGCTCCTGACAATGGGCACCCAGCATAACCCTATTCTCATCACAAGTTTCCACAAAATCATAAGTTTCCACAAAATCATGACATGGCAAGCAACAATAGCAACAAACCAGCAGGCAGAAAGCCAAACGCTGCCATCCTACCCGTCCAGAGCCCTCATCGAAAGCGACTGCAGTAACTGCCTGTGAAACAACAGCAGGTCAATAAGCATTGAAACATGACCTTGGCTCAATTCCAAACCTTGCCAATCTGCAGGATGTGACTAGGATACACGCAAGAAAGCCTGCAACAATGCCGGCCCACAAGATTCCAGTGGGCTGCCTGAGAGAGAAGGGCGTCCCGTTCATTTTGTGGCCATCGCGCCGCTCGTGCAAGGGACCACTAGAGTTCAATGCCTTGCTCCCCACTTGCTGACTCGCCTTGGAATGTCCCGGTAGCGTCGTCAGCAAGGACACATCCTTGGCCACGCCAACAGGGGCGTTGGTGCCACCTGGCAGCCTCTCCCATTTGTTGCTACGCGCTGGCTCGCTATTCGGCCTGGTGCCCTGGTAGCCTCTGGACCGGTTGTCATAATAGTCCCTGTCGTCGTGCTGGTAGTACTGCCTCCCAGTGCCTGCATTGCAGATGCCACAAGCACCACTACCTCACTCAACAATCCAAATTCACAGCTAGAATCGACATGCCCTGCCAGCCCCGTCCCTATTCTGTTGGTTACTGGCGCCAACACCTCGACACAGCACAACGCCAGCGACTTACTTCCAGTCGACCAGACCTGCAACAAACGACCATCCACAATCCACACTCACATCACGCCCCACAAGCCCACTGCACCAAGCACACCATGCGTCCAGTCCACGCCATGGCCCTCGCCGGACCAGGAACCACATCCAAGTCCCCCTCCGCCCTCCCAACCATCCGAGGGGGGAAAGCCCCCTTTTTCATGCGCACTCTCCCCCCCAATCCCCAGGGCATTCACCCCAGCGCCACCCACCTCTCCCTCTGGGGTTCCTGTACGACCCCCGGTCCCTGGATTCCCTGGAGTCCCTGGATTCCCTGGAGTCCCTCCAATCCCTCGGGTTGTCCCTCCCGTCCTGCCAGTAGTCCCCGGACCGCTTGTTCCGATTATAGCCGTGGCTCTCCCTGCCCCGCCCCCCGCGGCTCCCTCCATCATAACCCCTCCCCCTGTAGCCTCCCCTGTCGCCATCATAGCCCCCTCTTCTGTACCCATCGTCGTACCCACCGCCCCTGCCGCCATACCCGCCACCATATCCCCTGCCCCGGTCCCCCCCCCGGTACTGGTCATCCCTGTAGTCGTCCCTGGGGCCAAACCTCGGGCCCCGTCCCCCCCCGCCGTCGCGGTAGTCGTCCCTGTAATCCTCATCCCGCCGGCTGCGGCCGTAATTGCCCCGGCCGTTGAAGTAGCTGCGGCCCTGCGAGGGCCCCCTCGATCTATGAAAGCTGTCGGTCTGGAACATCGGTGCGCCTGATGAGAGCGCCGGACGGGCGGCTCGGGGCGGCGCCGCCCAGCGGCGTCCGTGGCGGCTGCAGGGCCGATGCGCGCGCGGGCGGTGGCTCGCGGCGGCAGCCGGGCGCTGGCGCTGCGGCCACGGGCGGTGCGTCGGTCGGCGAATGGGGGGCGAACGGGGGCTGAAGGGGGCCGTGGCGGTCTGGGCGAAAAAATTTCCCGGGGGTGGGTGTCGGAGGAGTGATGGGTTGAAAAATTTGTTGTGAGGCTGTCTGCTCAGCATGGGGTTGTTGGGAGTGTGGCGGGTGGTTGGGCGGGATGTCGCGGTGCGTGCCACGCGCAAGGTGGGAGGAGGGCGTGGGTCTCGCCGGCGGCGGGCGGCGGGGTGCGCTGGTCGCGGACGGTCGCCGTATTTGTGCCGTTGTGGTTGAAACGCGTTGAAGTCTACAGCTGGGCGGAGGGGGCGGGATGCCGCTGTTGCGCTCCGAGTGGGAATCGGACGGAACCCTTAGACGGCTGTTGAGACGAATCCCCAGTGCAGGAGCAGCGACTGGATCCTGTCAGTAATGCTCGCCGTCGCTAAATATGTTCAGAGGGTTGGATTTTGTTAGTTTGGGTCGACCTAGGCTGAATGATTGACGCGATGATGTCTTCTAAGTTCACTTTTTGCGTTTTTGGAAGTTCTAAACAGACATATTGTTTGATTTGAGTTGACGACCCTCGTTTCGGGCTTCAATTCGATAGTCTTGGGTTGGTGCTGGCAGGATCGTCCAACCTGCTTCACTTTGCAAGTGGCGGGCATTGGATCCCAAACTCCTGAGACACTCGGGGCACGCTGAAGGCGCAGCGAGGGGGAGGCCCAATGTGGTTCTCTGCTCTGCGGCCAAGAGTATGTGGTCTGAATATATGGTATGAACATGATCTCGTGCTCTTTGTTTCTACTACGATGTTTACAAATTTCAAAAGTGCTTTGTGCAGATCAGTGAAGGTTCCAGGAAGTTGGCACATCTAACGATAGAGCATGGGGCCGGATAACTGGTTTGGAGTCACTTGTATGGAAACGTGGGGGAGCAGCAATCCATTGCATCCGTGTTTTCTGTCACTTGAGCGATTTGTGGGTGCACATCGTGGCAGCCACTTCATGGCCACAACTGGCTCTACTTTTCTCAATAAAGAGCGTTCGCCCCAGGCTCTCTTGCAATAATTACATTGCTGTTTGGAGTATAAAACTGCAGCTTTTGTTTGTGGCGTAAGTAAGTACTGTTGATATAATGAGGAACAGACTCTTCAACAGCTGTATGTGGCTTTGGGCTGATCGTTTGCTTCCAACTGCTGAATATGTTGCAGTTCATATCCGGCTTCGTATTGAAGAGTGTAGCTGCTGTGACAAAATGCACTGTGAGGCTCTTGTGATGTCACTTGTGGCAGTCTGTGGCTTGACATTACTTTGTACCATTACATCTGTGTTTGCATGCGTCTTGCCCATCCCATTGGGGCACATGCTCCCAGGCTCAGGGAGCAGACAACGAGAAATGGATACCACAAACCTCACAGGAGTACACAATTTCTCAACACAAGACAATATCTGCTAAGTACTTGGGGCTTGGACAATCATGCGAGAGTCATGCAATCTGCGATCAAAATATGGGCAATACTTGTGGACAGTATTTCTGGTTTGGACGACAATGCAACATAAAGGGACAATTCAAGCAAAGTATCTACAAAATACCAGGGATTGGACCATTAATCTATACCAAAGCAAAGTAAGATATGGGCAATGCAGAAGCCCAGCTAGTGGAAGCTGTTCACTAGTTACTTGTTTGCTTGTTTCCCATCTTCATTTCCACCAAATTGATAGCTCACAGGTTGCACATCTCTTGCACTTGTCTCCAATAGAACCAGGGCAATTAGGCTATATGTTGTCGCAACATCTATGCCGGCTAATCAGAAGTTGTGTCCTGCGGATTGGTGCGTACGGATACCCAAGTTTTGGATACACATGTCATTTTCTTCATTTTCTTCCTCAGTGTGCAAGGGCGTTGTTCTGTGCCGTGCACAATTGTAGCCAAAGGAACTCGGCAGGGACAGATAAAGCACCACATCTTGAGTTTGGAATTGGTGTCGTGATGAATGTGATGTGCACTATGGTGTCTTGCATTTCATATATTCTGTTTCATTAAAACATCGCGTCAGAATGGCTTTATGGCGTTCTGTTGTCCTAGGGCTTTGGTGCTTGCTGTTATTGTGTACATGATGATTTTTGTGTGACCTTACAAACTGCTATAATGCACGTTGGCATCAAAATTAAATTATTCCTATGGTTGTGGCGAATCAGATCTGTACGATGTGCTTGGTGTGCAACAAAGTGCCTCTACAAAAGAATTGAAGGCCGCATATCGCAAGAAGGCGTTAAAGCTTCATCCTGATGTGAACAAATCGGTGAGTTTGGCGACTCAACATCATCCCTGGATAGGAATGGGCGACGTTAAGAATTGGACAGCATTTTTGAGAATTCGATGGGCCGTGGCCAACATATCTTACGACACTTACTGACTAACGACCCTTTGCTTTTTATTTGAACACAACCGTCCAAGGTGAGATTCAGGCATCAAACTGCAGCTGGCACCATAAGTTGCTCAAATGGTGGAATCATTGCTGTCATGTACAAAATTGACTGATTTTCATTCCTGTCAAAGGCAGTGTGTGGAATCATATGGTCACAGAAACGTACACAGGCATCTTACCTGTGACCGTACTCCAGCAGTTCGCGTATGAATGAAAGGAGTGAAACCCACTGAGATGCCCTGTGTGGTATACTCCATGTGCTCAACATTAAGACCACTGACAGGCATTCATTGGGCCTTGCTGTTGATTTGGTCCAGAGTTTGCTTTAAATCGGCCTCTATCGTTTCTGGGTGGTGTCATGCCATTTGGCTAATATTCATGGGTCCTTTTTCTTACCTTGTTGCTATTTATTTCAAGGGGTGCATGAGTGTGTTCAATCGCCTAAATCCCAGGGGTTATAAGAAACAGTGTCCTTGGTAGTCTCGCAAGCAGTTGTGTCATTTGTGCTTGCCAGTCAGTGTGTCCTTGGATTAGATCAGTTCCTTAGATCGCTGAAGAGCAATGGGAATATTGGCTGCATCTTGCCTGGGCATGATGAGCAGTCCAATGGAATGTGTTCAATTGAATGCATGTGCGACACACCCAAGCCATAACACAAGCATGTCATGATGAGGGACCATTTGCGTTGATGTCTGATTTTGTTCCGTATTGCAGCCAAACGCCAAAGATGATTTCATTGATGTCATGCATGCGTATCAGACTTTGTCTGACCCAGCGGCAAGAGCTAAGTACGACACCAAGCTACGACTGGTGAGCAAGTGGTGCAAGAGCTAGGAAATGAAGTTGTATGGGGAAGCTCCTTATTTGGTGGAAATTCTTAGTGGATGCAAATATCAGCTTTGTGACACAGCACTGCTTTTCTTCTAACAAGCAATGTCTCCACATTGTGACATGTACAAGGATGACAATAACCCATATCACTGAACCTGCCAGTGGTTTCATTCCAGCTCAGCTGCTTTTATCACATTTGAAACCATTACTATTTTCTGGCTGCATCACAGCCCCTGCAAGGAAATGTGGTTTTTGCCCGTCCAGATCTCCCCACTCAGTCCATTCAGCTACCTGAGAGATGTGATAGGACAAGAAGACAACTCATGGAGTTTTGATCCGTGAACCGAAGATCACATGACATGCATTCAGGAGGAGCATGATCATTTGCACCATGTTTGGGGTGTTTCCTGTTGTGTTTTTTTGTTACACTGTTTCAATGTCCAGGGTTTTGATGAGCGGTCATCTGGCAAGGACGGCTTTCGTCCTGGCTATGATTGGAGCTATGAGACTGGTAGAAAGAGAGAAGAAGAGATTGCTTTCAGCTTGGTGGGTGCTGCATGCTGTGACAGGGTGGCAAGCGATGTATATTTCCCTACTTGCAAGTGTCTGCTCCGAGCGCTGGTCAACCCCAGCAATTGTGTTGCACCAGTGCAGATGTCCAGTGTTGCATTGCCTTCTGCCAGTGCCACATCTTCACTCTCCTTGGCAAAATGACACCAGCACTTCACAGGGAACTGTCGCGCAGTTATCGTCCTCCAGACAGACAGCTGGAAACAGCTGGTTGACAAGTGGAGGCTGCATTTTAGACTGTGCCAAACAGAACACTGGTGCCAAATGATCAACTCACGTCTGGCTTCTCCCGCCATGGCCAGCATTTGTTGGCTCTCCTTGTTGCTTGCAGTCTTTCACCCACCAGACACAAGGACACCACTGTGAACACACACTTTTGCCCAGAGAACCTTCTCATTGTTGTTTGCTGTGGTTGAAATACTTCGTGAGAACGAGACACTGAAGATAGCCTAGGGCTTTTCTTTCTGCTGCTGCAGCCACCAGTTAGGAAATGGCTGTGTTCGTGGAGCAGCAGCGATGTCATCGCATGGACATTTGGACTTTGGGGTGTTTGGCAGTCAACAACTGCTGCTGCATCCAAAGACCCTGCATGTTGGATTCATTTCAGCTGCTTGTTTGCAGGAAGATTTGCTTCGCGAGCTGGAAAAGGAACTCAACATATGGACCTCGAAGAGGTCCAAGGAAGCGCCTCCAAAAGGCTTCTGGGCTGCTCTTGGCGAGGTGCGCCGATACCCTCGTGCCGATCATCTGCGCCACCAACTGCAACCATTGTCTCACCTATATGTTTTCTCCAACTGTGATATGGAATTTGTTGTTGGAATCTTGGAAACGAACAGGCATTTTTCACTTTGTTTTGCTTCTGCACCTGAGCAGTGCCAGAACCCATGCAATGGCAGTGGGTGTGTGCCAGTAATGCGATGGCTTGCAATGCCCTCTGCTTGGGAAGTCCAATTTCCCACAATCCTTCATTCTGCTGCTGCACAGGAGTTTGTGGAGTTCCTTGAGGAGGGCATCGGAATCAAGAATGAGGGTGATGCCAGTCAAACGACCCAGAGACGCTCATCTTCTGGAAAATCAAGGCCTTCCAGTAGGACGTCCCAACCATACAGCAACTCAGAGAGGTGTGTATGATCACCGATTTCTCGCAGCCGAGAATCCTTTTGGATTACTTGAAGGCTGAGCTGCAAGTACTGCTGGCAGAGCGGAGCAAGGCAGCAGAAACAGTCTATGTGGGTGCCTGACCCATTGACAGCCCGTCCTGTCGTATACATGGAAATACGAAACATGCATGTGCATGCACAACTCCTTATGAAGTTGTGTGTGTGGCCCTCCATATGTCTGGGTGTTTTGGTTTTCCTGGTGTGCCGTGCAATGCTGCTAGAAAGATGAATGCAATGAAGATGTGGGACGTACGTTTGTGTGTTGGTTCGCATGAGCAAATAGGCTGGGATGTGGTTAGTTTGATGGCTGAAGCATGAGCACTGCTGCTCGTGGAAACCAGCGCTTAGGACCTGGGGTTTGTAGGTATGGCAAGGGATCAACGGGCCACGTCGTAGTCGCCCCACCCTTGTGGGCAATGAAAAAAAGATACTCTGCCAAGTCCGGGGTCTATTGTTAGACTTTTATGCTAGTCCAAGCAGCTACAGAGATATTCCAAGAGAGTTGGAAGTCGCCAACGGCTTGGTTACTGGGCAAATTCCATGTGTCTGTGGACAGCAAACTGAGAACTGTGCATCAGAGGGTATAGCGTTGGGCCAGTTGCAGTGTGTGCTCTGAGAAGAATCGTTTGTGCTGTGTAGACCACGGGCACCCACAACAGAAACGCCACCACCAGCCACCAGAGACGAAAATGAGGAGGTAGAAGAGATGCTGAGAGCTTTGAAGAAGAAAAAGGGGCTGTGACTAAAGGTGTGCCACTGGGAAAACCGGAACTGGCAAGATCAGTTTGCATTTGTTTGTGAGTGCACGCCCAAGTGTTGAAATGGCAAGGATGGTGGCAGCGCTCCTTGAAGATCCTTTCACGCAGGGCGCCGTGAGTCTCCTTTCAGTTTTGTGTGGTAGGTCTTTTTGAGCTGGGGAACAGGCAGGGCTCTTTACTGAGGGAAGGCTCTCCTAGGACACAAGTACGAACACAAATTACTTCAAAACATCTGTAAATTGCGTGTTGTTTCTGGTGCCGCCAACGTTTTGACAGGATTCTGCCTGGTTGCACAATTGAAATGTGAGTGCGTATTGCATAAGTTCAGAGATGGTGTCTGTGATAAAATATGCGCTTCAATCTGTTCGAAACACGGCGCTGTGCAGGCCTTATTTTCCACCGAAAGTCATGGAATTGACTTGATGTCTTTGAGGCATGTCCAAGCGCCCATGAATCTGAGGGCATCGCATGGGATACTGGACAGCTCAATTCACCATCAACGCTGTCTGAGCACCACTGCGTCCGGTGACACATATGTGGACGGCGGAATGCTCCCTTCACAGGACACAGCTGTGGCCGTAAGTCGACAGTGCCCAGGGAGTTGTCTTCTTCTGATCACAGAGGAGGCTTTGGGTCTGTTTGGCAGTGCTAAAAGGCCACACTGCAGTGAACATTTTTCCGCATAAGCTAGAATAAACGCTTGACTGAACTATAATGTGACGACACCATAAAAACTGAATTCTAGAGCTTAAGCCGAAATGGAAAGTGAATATTCAAGCTGCGGTGATGACAACTTGCAACAACATCATTATCCTGGGATTCGGCTGGAGCCCTATCCAACCACTGCAGAATAACTGCATAGAATGCAACACGTGGGGCAGTATGGCATCACAAGTGCCAGCGACATGTGGAATTGAAGCCCAGAAGCACGTTGCTGAAAACTGGAATAAAAATGTGCCCTCAGTTGCTGGCGGTCAACATCGACACTTGCGGCAGTGTTGAAATCGCTGCCATGTCATGTTCCTTCATACTGACGTGTGACTGACAGATGGTGACGGACACAACACCATAGCTCTCTCTGAGATTTGGCATGAGCATTCGCCGGGCGTTGCAAACAGGAGAACAAAACAAACAGGGGACTGTAAGAATGAGCTAGCTGATTGAGATTCCATGAATGAAAGGCACAAGACCTCTGTATAATTCAAGAATCATATCGATAATGGAGCAAGCGCTGCATCTGTGCTTTTTTTGGAAAATTTATGTGCAGTTTGGGGGTGTTTGTGAGCTGGAATTGTTCACAAAATGTAAAACTGATGCCGAATGGCTGGCCAGGTTGGTGACAATTTCGTGCATTTAGGGACGACTGCTTGGTGGGCCTTGGCGTCCAACGCACGTGCGAGGTGCGCTGGAGATGCTGCCAATCGGCCCCAAATGTGCGACGTTTTCAAGGTTGAACTTGCCGCACAAAACCCTTGCCCAGGATCCAACCCTGATTGGCGCTGGTGCTGGCCACATATATTCGGCCAGGGTCTTGAGAGTCCACCCACGCTAATGATCAATGTTCGTGATTAGTGACAAATAGCTATGGATTGCAAGGAGGGGCGCTCCAGGCGACCATCATCGCCTGCCACCTCCAGGTGTCCAAGCAACGATAGGGAGGAGAATGGCGTGGAAGAGGGATGGCCATAAGGCCGCATCACATGCCTGTGCTGCAGTAGCCGTGGTGATATGTGACCAGCTTGGAGTGTGTAAGCCTAAGAGGGGTTGCTTCTCACAGACTGTCCTTCGAGCCGGGTTGGAACTGCTGAAGTGTGGAACGATGGACAAGGGAGTGTCAAATTGACATCAGCTTGCATGCTTCCTCCTCGTTTCCCAGCCCCCTCTTCCCACCCTGCAGCCATCCCGAGACATCTCGAGACGGGCCCCCTCACCCCGTCGGCGCCCAGACCTCGTCGCCCTCGTCCGCCAGGACCTCCCTCGGGTACACCGCCCCACCAGCGTCCAGGTACCTTCCCCACTCCACCAGCTCTCCCCCCCGCAGCTTTCCCAGCGCCATGAACTCCTCCACGCTCACCCACCGCGCCTCCAGCGACTCCTCGTCCGCCTGGCTCTTGGGCGCCTGGGACTCGTCCGCCGGCTCGGCGTAAAAGATCACCCGCTGCCTGGCGCCAGCCCTCCCCATGGGCGAGTATTCCACCCTTAGGATGCCCTTGATGGAGATGTCGATCCCGGCCTCCTCCTTGGTCTCTCGATGCGCAGCCTGGAAGAAGTCCTCGCCAGGCTCCAGCCGTCCCCCCGGCACCCACCAGCCGCGGTCGCGGGTCTCGTTCACGGCCAGGTACTTGTTCTGGGCGTTGCGGCAGATCACGATCGAGAACCCCCAAGTCGGGCAGCCGGTCTCCTTGGTCCAGCGGGGATCCATTCCAAAGAAATGGTTCAGAGGTCAGTGAGAAGAGCCACAGCAGGGCGCAGCGCCCCTGGCCGGCGGCGCACAGGTCCAAGGTCGGATACCTCAACCTTGTCGCGCGATCGTCCAAGGCTGGTGGAACACGGGTGTGGGACGTCCGCACATGGGGACAACACGCTGCATCCCAGCTTCGCCGTGAATGCAACCCGGCTCCCCACCGCCTCCCACCTCGTACCTACCGTTTCCACTGCTTTTAGGTTAGGCCCTGGACGCCCAAAACAGGAGGG